CAAATATTTCCACTACGGAGGTGAGTAAAATGTTTGGCATCAATATATAATTTATTTACATAGTTAATGAGACCAAAGAAAAAAGGACACATATCCTTCAGGCTCAAACATTCAGGATAAGAAAACTAACCCCACCCCTGAGGAACCTTGATCAGGAGGTGAACCCCACCCCTCCAAGGAATTGTGACCAATTTCCTATGACGGACACATTTTCCCCGTTGTGTCGAATATACTTACTGTTAACAAATGTACACACGCAACCTAGCTTTTTCATTATATTATTATTATTATACAGGATTTATATAGCGCCAACAGTTTGTGCAGCACTTTACAATATAAGGAATACATTACAATCACAATACAAATCAGGGCAAGATGGTAAGGAGGGCCCTGCCCCTGAGGGCTTACAATCTAAAAGGGAGGGGCAAGTGATAAATGAGGAGGTAGCTGTGCCTGGATGATGGTTTGAGAACGTGATGGTTGAGTGGTTAGGTTGAGGTGGGATAGGCTTCCCTGAAGAGATGAGGCTTAAGGGATCGCCTAAAGGCAGAGTGGGAGATAATCGGAAAGGTTGGGATAAAGAGTTCCACAGGATGGGAGAGACTCTAGAGAAGTCCTGAAGGCGAGCATGGGAGGAGTTGACGAGGGAGCTGGAAAGCAGGGCAACTTTGGAAGAGGGGAGGAGGCGGTTAGGGTGATACTTTGAGATCAGGTTAGAGATATAGCCGGGGGCAGAGTTGTGGATGGCTTTGTAAGTCGTTAATATTTTGAATTTTATCCTTTGGGCTATTGGAAGCCAGTGGAGGGATTGGCAGAGGGGTTGGGGGATGGAACCCAGTAGAGGGATTGGCAGAGGGGTTGGGGGATGGAACCCAGTAGAGGGATTGGCAGAGGGGTTGGGGGATGGAACCCAGTAGAGGGATTGGCAGAGGGGTTGGGGGATGGAACCCAGTAGAGGGATTGGCAGAGGGGTTGGGGGATGGAACCCAGTAGAGGGATTGGCAGAGGGGTTGGGGGATGGAACCCAGTAGAGGGATTGGCAGAGGGGGGTGGGGGATGGAAGCCAGTGGAGGGACTGGCAGAGGGGGGTTGCAGACACTGAGCGGTTGGTTAGGTGAATGAGTCTAGCAGAAAGAGTCTTGCAATATACAGAATTATAATGTTAGTATGCTACAATAAAGTAGATATAAACTATAAGCGGATGACTGTTAGAATGTTTTTTTTCCTCACAAACACTGTTTCCACCTTTTCTTAGAGTGAGTCCGGTAAAGCTTTATTTTCGTGACAAGAGATTTTGGTAGCCAGGCCGGCGACCTGAACCAGTATCATCCCTGAAGAAGGGGGAGTTCTGAATCCCTAAAATGCATTGGAATTTTTAAAGACCGCTTGTGATGAAAAACAAAGCTTTACTGGTCTCACACTAGACTTGGTCTGGGATGCGTCAATGCACTGAGCTCAGCTCCGCCCTGCAGTATGTACAAAGTCCATCACCCCTTTGCTCAGTGCATAGATTTATACATTGTATCGGACCTGTGTGGTATTGCTTTGCCAGTGACGGGATCACAGTACTCTCCATTATTCTCTTTCAGTCTTGCCGATTGTGATTTCACACCGTACGGAGCGGAAGACCACGGTTCCTGCCTCTTCACCTCCCTCCAAACAAAAGAAGTAATCAGCGCAAAAAGTTACATTGTGTCAGATCTCTTCACAGAGCCATAAAAAGGACCAAGCTGGCCGTACACGTGACAATTTTCAGTCAATTTCCATCAATTGGGAATCGCACACACAGTCGCAAGTAATCACCAGAAATGAAATAATCTACTGCCTAAGAGTTCCATCGAACACCAGGATTTGGCTGATTGTGGAACTGAAATTTGGCAATTGATTGGTTTCTTCAGTATAGTTTAATGAAAGATAGAATTGGACATGGGGAAAAAAAATATATGATAAATTGTGTCAGAAACAATCAAATTTATCCCCCAGGCTTGAAGGGGCCATTTCCTTGCCGATAATGAAAACCACTAAGGCGTTGTTCACACCAAATGAAGAGCAGATCCGGTCAGGTTTCTGCACACGCACACTAGTCTTTTAGACGCGCTTTAGACACGTTTGTTGACGCGTTTTTGACTCGCTTTTGATGCGTTCCGGGCTCTACTGAGCCGACCTGTGACAGTCTCATTGTCACAGGTCGTCTAGAACTATGAGGTGAGTGGAAATCACTCATCTCATAGTTCTCCTTTAAAATGGGCTTTCAGTGTGTTCCAGGCATTGGCATGCGTTTTTGAGGCGTTTTTAATGCGTTCCAGAGCAGATCCAGAGCAGGTAAAATAGGGCCTGCTGCAGTTTTTTCACCTGCTCTGGATCTGCACTGCAACTGCACGCTGCGATGTGAACTGGAGCAAAAAATACCATTGGAATACATTGGACGCAGTTTTGATCCGGTCTTCACCTGCTCTGCTCTGGATCTGTTCCGCGCTTGGTGTGAACAAGCCCTAAGTTATGTGTTTCTACTGTTTTGCGTTTTAAAAAAAAGATGGAAATGAAGATTCAATTGCTCCATCAAATTGCCCCACGTACAGCCAGCTTTCGAGAGAGCGCCAGGCATAAGAAAGACAACAAAGTTGCCCACAGCAGCCAGTGAGAGCTTTCTTTTATATTCTCCATTGCACCATAAAATGTTACAATCTGATTAGTTGCTACTTGGGACACCATTATGTCCTTCTGCACCACGCTCCTTACCTGCAGACATGTGCAATGCGTTTCGTTCCAAATCGAAATTCGGACAACATTTTGGAAATTCTAAGATTCGGATGTATCCGAATTTCCGAATGACAGATATAAGGAACGCAAACGAATTGCCGTTTTGTTGTCCGAAATTTCGTCGCAGCAAAGTGACATTTGTCAAATGTCACTTTGTTGCAACGAACGAACGAAATGAACACGACACGAAAGTTCCTACAAACTACCGCTAACGAGTTTCGTCTGAATCCAAATCCCGATGCGTATTGACTTTCGGACCTGAATCCCGAAAAACGAAAAAACGAAAAATCCGAATCAAAGCGAAACTAAGCTAAACAAATTTTTGCACATGTCTACTTAACTGTGATCTTCCCATGCGGTGTGCAGGTTTTCAAATATTTTCTCATTTACGAGAAGCTAGATTTTCTTGTTTACACATTACGAGAATATTGTGATGTGTATTGGTGGGGCAACTGAGGTGTCTGTTATGGAGAAATAAAACAAAGGAGAAATTGTGGAAACCAAATGGTTTATCTTTAATTTTGCACTAGAGACATAACAGCCGGAGTCAAAAGCTTATAAGATCCTTTTTCTATATTTACGTTGAAGCCTCGGGGTCCTGCTCTGTGTGTATTTGGGTTCAGCACCTTGAAGACCTAATTAACACCTTGAAGAATTTAAAAAAGATGACGAGTATGTTCTGTTTTATTAAAAACAAAAAGGAGTCAGAAATGTATAAATATTGGAAAATAAATATAAGTTTGTAGAAATAAAATTAACTGGATAAAAAGGAAAATATTGGTTGTGCATCTATAACAATCTGAAACTTGATACAGTATTCCCCTTGTAGCTCAATACTTTATCTGGTGGCTACTGTTATGTTGGTGGCTAATCAAATAAACTCTGTCATGGTTTCCATTCCTTTCCTTTTTATTTTCCTGTTCCTTTTCCCTTTCTATCACGTCCTTTCTTTTCCTTTTCTTCTGCTTTCCTTTGCTTTCCATTCCATAACTTTCCATTATTTTCCTTTTCCTTCACCTTTTCCTTCACCTTTTCCTTCTCCTTCCCATCTCTCCTCTGTCTTTGTACTGCTCCTTCTTTTCCTTTCCACTATTCATTGGCATAACATTAGCCATAGCAGCCCAAGCAGCTGCTATGGGGCCTGATGGTAGAATGGGCACTTTAACCCCCGTAAAGTGCCCATTCTACCATCAGGGCCCATAGCAGCTTTGAGGCAATTGAAACATAGTACATCTGTGTGCATGTGACACGTAAATCCAGCACTGTATCTTTAAGTATTGCTGTGCCATAGCAGCTTTGAGGCAATTGAAACATAGTACATCTGTGTGCATGTGACACGTAAATCCAGTACTGTATCTTTAAGGATTGCTGTGGTTGCTGTTGACACTGACACTGTACACCCCCCCCCATGACATTTTCAATCTAGAAGAGCTGATGTCAGGCCTCCAGGAGAAGACTTCAGAATGGTTGTCTCCAGTCACACATCCCCTTTGCAGACTGTGCAGGGAAGAAAATGTGTTTAGCTGTCTTAGTAGATTAGTGCAAATTTATTGCCCTCAGAGCTTCTGGTCATCCCAGCCAGCACTGAAACTAACCCTGTATGCCTAACACAGGCTTCCTCAGGTTGCAAAAATCCTGGAGTGTCTCCTCAGATAAAAACTGGCAGCTGTTTGTAGTTTTGCAATAAACCCTGCAGAGTTTAAAGAAGCTTGTATTAGAGTTAAAGGGTCATTTTGTGCCAGAGTACTAATTATGATGTCATCATATATAATATTGTCATTGCTATTGCTACGGCAACTCTTGTTTTTTTCCTTTTTCTTTCTACTAACTACTTCACCAGCTCTTTCAGCACTTGCTTGTGCTGTGGAGTGACTGA